ACATTTATGAGTTTATTTTTCCTATTAAATTTGGAGTATTAATATTAGTCGTCATATTAAATTTAAAATAAAATTTAAAGAGATCTCAACCGCAAAAAGTAAAATCATTTTGTTTATCTTTTAAAATTTGAATTGTATTATACTTTATTATATAGATGGAATATATTAGTATGTGTAATGGTTGCTTTGTGTCTCATTTCTTGAGTTGATGGATGTATTGAGATAAAGAATTTGGATTTGTTTTTGACCAAGAATTAATATAAAAATAAAATATATAATAGAAATTAAAGTGGTTCCCACACATTTTCTATTTTGGTTTTGAGAGATTGTAAAACAAAAACTGCAATCAAACACATTTCTGTTTTAACTTTTTATCACAGAAAAAAATTAAAATTAATTTTATTTTTTTTGAAAATATAAAAACAAAAATATTACCAAACACAACTTTACTTTTTCTTTCTTTTGTTGATCCTTTTTTTCTTTTTTTTTTCTTTTATTGATTTTATTTTTGCATTAAATTATATAATTAATTCTCCGAACGACTGTCAATTGATGACAATATATATCCAAACTAGATTTAGATTCCTTCAATTATTTTTTTTCTTCAATTTTTCTCAATACAGTGCTAAATGAGTGACATTTGTAAAATTTTGAATTTTAATGGATAAGATGTTTCCTCATTTATTTTTATTGTTGGTGGAGTGTTAACTATTATTAAGAAATTTTCTCATAAGAAAAAAATTTTATCCATTGAAATTCAAAATTTTACACGTGTTACTCATATAATACTATATGGAGGAGAATTGAAGGGAAAAGGAACTGAACCCATCAAAACTAAGTTGATAAACCAAACATAGCAAGAGACAAGGCACTCAACATCAACAATCTTCTCTAAGAGTCTAGGAGTTATCCGGTGCTGATGATAAAATTCTCCTTTTGGAATAGGGAAATGTTATTTAGACCTAAAAAATTAATATAATTTGCTAATTTAATGACGTGACTTCATTAGAATCATTAGATAAATACTAAGTTTCAATGTTTAATGGAGCCCACAATTAATTCAAAGGTCCTAGTGAATTAAATTAACAAATTAGATTAATAAATTAGGTCCGAATAATAGCATTGCTCGAATAGGGATAAAACCACTTACCAGGCCACATTAAAAGCCAAGGCCCTACTTGCAGCTTCTTTTATCTTTTTTATTATCGGTCAACGGTTCAAACATAGGCATGTACGCAGCAATGCCTACATATCCACCTTGTTTAGGCTGCATCCACAAAGTTTTTCAAGAAAAGATCAAAATAAATTGGACTTCTATGAAAATCAAGTAGACTTTAGGCACAGCTAATTACCTGAAACTACACGGTAAAGCTTGGCAGCCTTGGCATGTGCCAACAACATGTTGTGCACCGCAATGAGAGGCTCCACGTCGGAATTGCCAACAGAACAGTTGCCGAAAGGTGCTGAACAACGAGCAGGAGGATACAATCCTTTCTTTTAGGCCATTTCAGCTAACATGTTTGGCTCATTGATCGTGAACCAATACTTCACTCTATCACCAAAGCTCTTGAAACAAGTTTCTGCCAAATGTACAAAATCTTGCCTACAAAAATGCATTAAACATTTTGCAACAAAAAGTATACTGAAACTGTTAGAGTATGTGTGGCTCATATTTGCTGTGTGCATAATGGTAAGGAGGCAGATGCCGGAGCGTAGCGAAGTGGAGCGAAGCGGAGCCCGCGACGGCATCTGCCTTGTGGGATTTATATAAATGGGATGCTTATTAGTTGGGGGTGTGGGGGCAACGCCCCNGAGCGTAGCGGAGTGGAGCGAAGCGGAGCCCGCGACGGCATCTGCCTTGTGGGATTTATATAAAAGGGACGCTTATTAGTTGGGGGTGTGAGGGCAACGCCCCCGCGGTACGGTACAGGGGTATTTTTGTAAATACGTCCATATTAGGGTTATATAAATACTTAAGATGTAACCCTACTTCAATAATGGAAAAGAACGACCGCTCGCTCTCGTGGAAGTAGGCACATTGTCGAACCACGTAAATCTCTGTGTGTTATTTTCTCCTGCTTTCTTAATTGTTTGATTCCTTACTATTCACCATAATTGTTGCACGATCACAACAATTGGTATCAGAGCTAGACTACGATGTCTGGGATTTCCTCTACAAAATTCGACATCATGAAATTCGACGGAACTGGGAATTTTGGATTATGGCAGAGGAGGGTGAAGGACCTGTTAGTGCAGCAGGGCATGGTGAAGGCATTATACGGAAAACAACCGGCAGGAATGGACGACATGGATTGGAAAGAATTGGAAGCGAAGGCTGTGGCGACTATTAGGCTTTGTCTGGCTGATGAAGTGATGTATCACGTCATGGATGAGGAATCACCAGCGGAAGTTTGCTTGAAACTGGAAAGTCGGTATATGTCCAAGTCGTTGACGAACAAGCTCTATCTTAAGCAGAAACTATATGGTCTTAAGATGTCAGAGGGCTCGGATTTGACCCAACACATCAACGTGTTCAATCAGATCATCAGCGATCTGAAGCGAGTTGATGTGAAGTTCGAAGACGAAGACAAGGCGCTGATGTTGCTGAATTCCTTACCGGCGTCTCCTACGTACGAGAATTTGGTTACGACTCTGATGTGGGGGAAAGAAACCCTCGAATTGGAGGATGTCACAGGTGCTCTGTTAGGTTTTCATCAGCGGAAGAAAGCCAGTGATGAGGCTTCACAAGGTGAAGGGCTTGTGGTGAAAGGTAACCAGGAACGTGGAAGAAGCAAATCTCGGAATGGATCGGGTAACAATAAAGCCCGGTCCAAGTCGAGGAAGAAGAAGAAGGACGTCTCTGTCTCGTGTTACAAGTGCGGGAAAAAGGGGCACTTTAAACGGGACTGTCCAGAGAAAAAGAAAGGGGATTCAGAGAACAAAGAGGGTGCATCAAAGTCTGCAAACGTAGTGGAAGAAGAAGATTCAGAGAGTGGTGACGGAGATATGCTTTCTGTTTTATCTAGTTCAGATCGTTTAACAGATTCTTGGATTATGGATTCAGCATGTTCCTATCACATGACACCCAACAAAGATTGGTTTGACACCTACAGGTCAGTAAATTCTGGTTCTGTTCTGATGGGTAATGATGCATCTTGCAAAGTTGTTGGAATAGGAAATATTAGAATTAAGATGTTTGATGGTATGGTTAGAACGTTGTGTGATGTTAGACATGTACCGGATCTAAGGAAGAATTTGATTTCATTGGGCACTTTGNTATGTCTGATACTATGATTTGTGGTGATTTATAAATCCAAGGAGTAAGGAGGTGACAATACATAGAGACTGCAATGCTACTGGAAACAGTATGTTTGAGAGAATTACACATTAATGTCGCGCAATTTATAGTAAGATTTGGTGCATAGGAAAGTGATTCCAAATCATTCGATATTTTCATTTTGATCAGAAAAATTTAGAGTGCTCCTAGAAAAAAAAAACAAAAAAAACTTTCCTTTAGTACTATAATTCATGATTATGGCACATTTTCAAGTAAGTAAAATTAATGAAGTAATACTAAGATTTGATATATCCATACTTACCTACTATAAGTCTATAACTATTTCAGTGGACTTACACAACATACAAAATGAGAAGATAACTGAACCATTTAATTTTACTCACCATTTTCAGTCACAAACATAGGCTTGTTACGATATCTGTTCTTAAGATAGTTGACGATCTCCTCCATGCCTCTTGGAACTACAAAAAATGCTGGCATTCCTGTCTGTGGGAAAGAAGAACAACAAATTTAAAAAGACTAGTAATCAAAGACCAAAAAAACTAGAAAAAAACTCTAAATTTCATACTGGTTCTCCAGTAGGAACTCCATCTCGCTCTCCAGTTGTCTCTACAAAGCCTTGGATCGTACGATTCCCAGCCTGGTTGCAGCTAGAATATATGCAGTCTTTGACATATATTGCTGAATAATGATTAATTCCAATGAAGTCAATACTGCCTTTAATCCACTCTGTTTCCTCCGTGGAGAAGCTAGGTAATTCACTGCCATGATAACGACGCATTTCTGGAGGATAATCTCCGTATACAAGAGGATCAATAGTCCAGTTTAACAACAAATTAACCATGTCATAATCTCAAGTTTTCATAAGCCCAATAGTTCTGCGCATAAGAGTAATGGATTTTTGTTCTATTTTACATTGACTGAACTAAACAAGAAAAGAATACAATAAATATGTCAATTAGCTTAATGGGATAATAACTCGACAAAGTCTTGTCAGACCATTTTTCTAATTAATTTATTGTTGAAAAGAAATTATGTTCGCAACATAGATTCGTATTTGAATTTTGATTCGTACAGCAAAGATCATATAAAAAGTGCTTTTGTATGCTTTGAGGAAACTGCAACAAATTCTAGCATTTTAGTAATAGTTCAATTCTTAAATGTACCTTTTAACCCAAACACTACCCACAGTTTAAAGCTTGAATATCAATGTGAAAGGAGGAGATATTTGTATATTGTAAAATGAGAAAGTGTAACTAAAACACGCGCGCGGGCGCATACACACACACATATATATATATATAATTGTGCGGTTTTGTCATCTCACCTTGACTTATACAAGTCTCGANCACACACACATATATATATATAATTGTGCGGTTTTGTCATCTCACCTTGACTTATACAAGTCTCGATGACCGCATATTGCTGGCCTACTAATTCTACGTCATGTACTAACCCAAAGGAAGATGGGGTGGGGGGGATGGGAACCACTATATTGTTAGGAGGATCAAGTCCAAGTCTAACAAGAGCTATTCCTTGCCTCCACAGATGTCTTACGAGGTTTGAACTGCTTGCCTCCCTATTGAGGATGAGGGGTTGACACCCCGAGCTCAGCGGTGGTACTAAATTCATAAAAATTAGACATTTAGGTTTTGTTTGTAACGTATTTGTTTTGGATTTTGTGTTTTTGTTTTTAATTTTTGTCAAAAAAATAATGTGTTTGATAAGTTGTTTGTTTTCTACCTAATTTGTTTTAAAAACAAGTCCCAAATTTACAAACAAGAATTTAATATTTTCAAAAATAGCAATAAAGAGAAACAAGAGCACGTTGTGCTCATCCATTTAATGAGGTCCAGACATCGAACCCTATTAATGAAAAAAAAAGGAAATTTTTTGTTGGAAGATCTCTCGTTCACCCAACCCCTACCCTCTGTCTCTCGTCTGTAATCTCTCTGTCTCACAAAGAACTCAAAAGTAGCTTCCATTGAAGCAATTCGAAGCACTCACATTGTCTATCTGAGGGTATGATATTCTCCTTTCTCTCAAACCCATATCTAATCCATCTCCATCGATCTCTCTCTAACACTATGAA